GTCTCAACATGTCTCCGGCCCGACCCATGAACGTGGACACACTCTGGACCTGGTTTTCTCGACGGGGCAGGAAGAGGGTGACCTGAGGGTGAGAAATTTATGTTTGACTCCCCTGTCATGGTCAGATCACTTCCTGGTGAGGTTTGTGCTCGAGAGTGACCTCTCCTTCTGTAAGGGTACGGATCCGATTGCGTGGGTCCGCCCCTGGAGCCGGATGGACCCGGATGGATTCCTGAAAGCCCTGGGGGAATTTCCGGCTGACAAGACTGGTGCTCCTGTCGAGGCTCTGGTCGATCTGTGGAACGGGGAGATGACCAGGGCTGTGGACGCGATCGCTCCTAAGTGTCCTCTCCCACCGGGCAGAGTCCGCTCTTCCCCTTGGTATACACCTGAATTACGGGCGATGAAGCGAGTTGGGAGACGGCTAGAGCGTAGGTGGAGGAAATCACGGGATGAATCTGACCGAACACACCTGAGAGCCCACTATCGGGCCTATGCTGTGGCGGTGAAGGCGGCGAAAAAGAAGTTTTTTTCCGCTTTCATTGCCTCCTCACAATGCCGTCCGGCAGAGCTTTTTCGAGTGGTGCAAGGCCTGGTTCGCCCGGGTCCTAAGGAAGATCCGGTTCCACCCTCAAAGGCCTGCTGTGACGACTTTGCCAGGCATTTCAGGGAGAAAATCGCTCAGATTCGTCACGAGCTGGACTCCACTAATGAATCAGAAGTTTCTGGGGAGACACCAATGCTGCCGTCTGGTCCAGAATTATTGGATGAATTTCAGTTATTGCGGCCTGATGATGTGGACAAGGTGCTTGGAGGAGTACGTCCCACCACTTGCCTATTGGACCCTTGCCCGTCTTGGTTAATAAATAATTCCAAGCACGGGATTGGGACCTGGATCTTGGAAGTGGTTAATGCTTCTCTGAGGGAGGGTCGGGTGCCTGCCCCTTTAAAGGAGGCGGTAGTCCGACCGGTCCTGAAGAAGGCGTCACTGGATCCAGAGATGGCCACTAACTATAGACCAGTGGCCAACATCCCGTTTCTGGGCAAGGTATTGGAGCGGGTGGTGGCGGGACAACTCCAAGCACTCTTGGATGAAACTGATTATTTGGACCCATTTCAGTCCGGCTTCAGACCCGGGTACGGTACTGAATCTGCCTTGGTCGCCCTGTACGATGACCTGTGCAGGGAGAAGGACAGGGGGAGTGCGTCCCTGTTGGTTCTTCTGGACCTCTCAGTGGCTTTTGATACCATCGACCATGGTATCCTTCTGGATAGGCTAGCGGGATTGGGGGTCGGAGGCACTGCTTTGCAGTGGTTCCGCTCCTATCTCAATGGCCGATTCCAGAAGGTAGTGCTGGGGGACTATGGCTCTGCGCCATGGCAGCTATGCCATGGAGTACCACAGGGCTCCATTTTGTCCCCTTTGCTGTTTAACATCTATATGAAACCGCTGGGAGAGGTCATCAGGAGGTGTGGGCTACGGAATCATCAATACGCTGATGATACCCAGCTCTACCTCTCGTTTTCCATTAATCCAGGTGAGGCAGTGGCTGTGCTGAACCGGTGCTTGGCCGAGGTAATGGGCTGGATGAGAGCCAATAAACTGAAGCTCAATCCAGACAAGACGGAGGTCCTGTTGATTGGCGGATCGGGCTTCGGAAAGGGTGGATTTGATCTGGCCCTGAATGGGGTTGCACTCCCTCATAGGGACAAGGTCCGCAGCTTAGGAGTACTCCTCGACCCGGAGCTTTCATTGGAAGCTCAGGTGACAGCGGTGGCGAGGAGCGCTTTCCTTCAGCTTCGGCTGATTAATCAGCTGCGCCCCTACCTGGAGTACGACTGCCTGGCGACGGTGACACACGCACTGGTGACTTCCCGCCTTGACTTCTGTAACGCGCTTTATGTGGGGCTTCCCTTGAAGACGGTCCGGATACTTCAATTGGTTCAAAATAGAGTTTGCTGACGGGGACGGAGTGTTATGCTCACATGACTGCAGTCCTCCGACAGCTTCACTGGCTTCCCATTGAAGTCTGGGCCCAATTCAAGGTGTTGGTTATGACCTATAAAGCCCTAAACGGCTTGGGACCTGGTTACCTGAAGGAGCGCTTACATCCATATATGCCTGACCGCCCCTTGAGATCTGCGGGAGAGGCCCTTCTCCGGGATCCCTCCGTGAAAGAAATTAGGAGGGTGGCTACTCGGAGGAGGGCTTTCTCTGCGGTGGCACCCAATCTATGGAATGTGCTCCCCAGAGAGGTCCGCCTGGCACCGTCGTTATTTGTTTTTCGGCGCCAGGCCAAGACCTTTTTATTTAAACACTATTTTAATTGTTAACAATATTTACTTATTTATCTGGCCAGGGCGACTTCTTTTCTTTTCTTTTATAACTTCTTTTATATCGTTTATATTTTTTATTTTATATTATTAATTTTAATTTTATATTGTTATTTTATATTGTATTGTATTGTGTTGTAAGCCGCCCCGAGGCTTCGGCAAGGGGCGGCATAGAAATGTTATAATAATAATAATAATAATAATAATAATAATAATAATAATAATAATAATAATAATACACAGATGGCAGCTGCTAACATCCATATTCGGCCACCTATAATTGGCATATAATATATGCCTGTGGATATGTTGGATGCTGAACATTGTCTGATAATGGCCCCTTTCATCGTATACCATGATACTTCAAAAAGAGGTCTGCATCTCTATTTGTACTTCTATACACTAACTTTCTTATCCAAGCAGAAGGAAACTGTCCATATGGGCTGCTTCTTTTAATTATTAGACTGTCTGTACATGCATCTGTATACACACTGCTAAAAGTAGTGTGTGCCAAAGGTATACAAGTGTGCCAAAAGTTTAAAAGTAAAATCCTGTGCCAAAAGTATAAAACTCTATACACCTGCATGTGCTTTTAGCTTGTGGCTGTGCAAAATGGAAGAGTTAAAGGGACCACTGAAGCATTGACAGGGTGGGTTTTTTGAGTGTGGGGGTGTATGGAAATTCAGGTGCACAGATAATTGCTGCTGGGTATAGGAAATATATGCACAATCAGATTTACGAATCTTGAATGAATCTTGAATGAATTTTGTCTTCACAGCTTGAGATAAAGAACCACATGTTCTTCAGTCCAATAAACTGGGATGATTTGTATAATAAGAGGATTACTCCTCCATTTGATCCTAATGTGGTAAGTAGCTTGTTCTGTAAAGCTTTCTATCCTAGAAGGAAGTAGAGACTTGAGAGCACATTTATAAGGGATTGCCATTCACAGACAGAGGGCTCCAAAACTGGAGCTCTATGTCTGTCTCATGCCCTGCTAGAGATGGAAATGCCTCCTTCATAAGTAGAGCTAGACAACCTGAGACTCATCCAGCTTACTTGCTTTGTTGTGGGAAGGATGGGCAATGGGAAATGTTAGGATTCTGCAGAATCTGTTCCTTCCTCCTTTCCTTCCCCATTCTCCATTCCAGTCTCTTTTCTTTCTTCTCAAGTCCTTCTGATGTCACTGTTGCACCCTTGGAAAAACCACTGGAATGGTGCTTTCCATGGTGGCTGAGAATATGCAAGGATAGGGAAATGATCCAATCTCATTTCCCTCCCCCACTGCCCATGGCATAGCAGTATCTATAGCCTTCAGAAAGGGGAGTCCATCATATTTTATTCTCCCTGGGATGCTTTTCCAGGGACTATAGAAGTGCTCTGTGAAATGCTTACAAGAGGTCATTTGGTCATGGTTTGCAGGACAGATACCCTAGAATATGTCTTTTATAATTGGTCATGAGTCTTCCTAACTGGTATATAGTTCAGATGACACAGCCAGACCACAGCTTGCATACTGTCCTTTGCCTCATTTCCCCTTCTGGTTTTGAGGCAAAGGCTAAATCTACCTTCTAAAAGCAAATAGTTGGAAATAATTTTGCAGTTCTGGTTGGAAGACTTTGAATGGTTTGAGGTGTCCTTGTTTTACCCAGTTTGGACAACACAACAAATGAAGTTATTGGTAACTTAGGGCAGTGGGTGGGGGACATGTAAGCCTGTGGTTTGGCTGGGATATCTGAACCGGGCATTCAGGTCAACATGTTTATTATGAAAAATAAGACCCTTTGCTGTCTCAACTCATTGGGCTGCAGGCAAGGAAACAACCTCATGTCCAGTTCTCCATACAAGAGAAGGGTATCTTAAACTCCAATGCTTTTAGCTAATTAGAGCTCAAGGAACCAACACCTTGCCTAGATCTCTTGCCTTCATGCATGATGACTTTTTATGGCAATTTTAAAATAGCAACAGTTGTAATAAACTGAAGCTAGATCATTGGAAATAACCTGTTCTTCCCTTTTAAGGCTGGTCCTGCTGATCTACGGCATTTTGACCCAGAATTCACTCGGGAAGCCGTCTCCAGCTCCATTGTTCGTACCCCTGACTTAGCTGCCAGCAGTTCCAGTGCAACAGATGCTTTTCTGGGTTTTTCTTATGCACCGAATGATGAAGATTAAAGCAATCTGTGTAAAGGCTTCAAAACCCAGTATTAGCTATTTAAATGAGAGGAAGCCGCTACTCTCTGACTAATCTTCTAACTGGAACAGAATGAAGGTCATCACCTTTGAGATAGGGACCTCATAATGTGAATGCTCTTTCTATTGAGGAAATGCTGATTATTCTAGTTAAAATTACTCCATTTCTACAGACTTGAATGCATTTAATGATACATACAATCCTGTGCCAAAATTGACGTTGTCCGATGAAATTGCAAGTTAACTGTTCAGATTGTTACAGGTTGCTTAAAGGGGACTCAAGGTATTCTAAATTATTAGTTATTCTGGTGTCAGTTGCTTTAGGCTTGGTGCAGTGACCATTCGGATTGGCTGGACTTGCACAATCACCAGGAAAAGGCCACAGAGGCTTCTCTTCCCCGCTGCCGCATGTCTTGGTCGTGCGCTGTGCGATTTGCCAAATACACTTGTGGCAAAGGGGTTGCTGTGTTGCCTGAACCCAACGAGGTGTGTGGCTTATTATACATTTCTGGGTAGTTTGGAGGCCACCTCATGCTGTGTGCTTCACCTGCTTCAGATGACAAGGCAACCCATGTGCTGCAACAGGAATTCAGAAAACTGCACAGTCTCCAAGCAGCATGTGCAGGGGCAGGGAAACGAAAGCACTGAGGCTTCTTCTCCCAGGTCATCCTGAGAACCAGCCACTGCCTGCAACTTATGATTCTCTTAGAATCATAACTCAGTCCCAGTTCATCCATCTTTTTGAGGCCCTCAGGGGATTCCCAGAGCAGGACTATGGAGCTAGTCAGTGAATCGTGGAATGCTTCCCCCACACTCACACACGCAGCTGTCTTTCTACAGCATATTCATTTTTTTCTTGCCTGATTGGTCACCTCTGGGCCTCGCCCACACCCCTCCCAGCATTGCAAACTGGAAGTATTACCATCTCCAGCTTGTATCCATGTTTCCATTCTGGATTGAAAGCACTGCTGCACAACTAACACTGGTAGGAGTGGCACAGTACATACCCCTTCCTATCATACAGTGGTTTGACAACCTACCTTGGAAACATTGCCAACTCTTCTCTGCTCACCTTTTTAGTAACCTTAAATTTCTTCCCTTTTATCTGAAAGCTACATAGTGGCAAGAGTCTGCTCAGAACTACCTCCTTATAGCATTGATAGAGAACAGACAGTTGTTTCTGCTTTTTAAAACATAAATGAAAGACAGATCTGTTTAAAGCCCTGCCTATTAAGAGCTGTGCAGCCCAAAGGAATTGTGCCAATGTGTAATCTTTTATTTACAAAATTAAGTGGTGCAACTAAAGCTGTCTTGCTATGCAGCCTCATTACCTTGATTTTACACTAAACCATTATCTGTGTCAGTGTGTTTTTATAAAACACTTCAATCACTGATTTACCAGTCTGAATCAGTCTTCTTAAGTCTCTTAGACTGGGAAGGGGGTCTTGTCTTCCTACAAAAAATGAATATGCAAAGTCTTGGACTGAGTAACAAAGCAAGATGATTCTAGAAAGCTACCAGCTACAAGCAAAACACATCTATCCTGCTGATGAACTATGTAGGTAGAACCAGAATGGATTACAATGGGCTTTTGGTTTGCATAGGAGCACGACTGTGATTGCCATTACCAGAAATAAAGCCAGGGCTTCTCCTTTTTTAAACACATTGTAAAGGTGTGTTTAAAATGCAATAAAGAGCAGGATATACCCTGGTGGCATGGTGAATTCAACTGTGATAAATAACATGTATTGCAGAAATAACTGCTGGATTTTGATGCCTTCACACCTCTAAAGCACATATCTTTTAGAAAACAATGGGCCAGTTTAATTTCCAAACCTTCCATTCACTTGTCTCATAATTCTGTGCATTTGTATGCTATTATGTTTAAGTACATATTAAGAAATGCCTGTAGTTTCCAAGTTTCCTGTGAGAATCCTTTTTTTGGGTGTGGGTGGGTGGGTGGGAGGGCTTTCATTTGTTATCAAGACTATGGTAGCAAAAAGGGATTGGTTCATATAACAATTTTGCCTGACCTCTAGTCTCTGAGTTTCATTGATATCCTGAGATAACTGAATAACTGTGATGAAATATATGTGCATTTTATCTTCTGAATCCCCCATTCCATTTTTATTCAGGTAAATATTTAAAATGTAATAAAATGTATCATCTATTTTAAAGAGGACAGTTTCTTGAATAACCAAGGTCCAGGTAACGGTGTAAAATATCCATTTTATTCTTTCTTTTAATACTTATTCAAGACCTTGTGTATGTGATCACCTGTATAGCATTATTGGCATGGATTAATAACTACAGATTATGGCCATATAAACTTCTACAACCAAGAAAATCTCTGGAGGATGCTGCTTACATACTGAATAGATAACCTTGGACTTGTCATGGCAGTGCCATGATTCTTAGATTGTACCTGGGTATCTGTGTGGCTTTCTGAGTCTATTGATTCCCGAGCATTTTGCTCACCCTCCTAAAACATCCTCATCTTGCCTACTTTTGGACACACATCATGAAATCTGCCTGGCTAGTCTTTGCTTGTATTCATTTTAAATGTGCTTTCTGGAAACTGTTTTCAATAGAACAGTTCTCCCCTAACATCTGTAATATGAAATTATTATTGTTACATTTATCTCCTAAATTTCTTCCTCATACAAGGAAACCAAGGATACTTATATAGTCCATTATTCCATTTTATTCCCATAACAACAACCTTGTGAGTAGGTTAGGCTGAGAGTGCGTGACTGGCCCAAAGTCACCAAGAGTGCTTCACGGCTCAACAGGGACTAGAATTCCAGTCCAACACTGTAACCCATCCTACACTGACTCTGTTTTGGAATGTCATGGTTTTCCATTCTGTATTTAAATTTGACTAGGCTAGCAATCAGAAGATTTGGTTTCTCCCTTTTAAAATGAGGGTCTTGAGAGGTCTAACTAAAATACCATCTGATTTTCCAGAATGAAAGCGCTGCTGCTTTGAACCCTACAGGCTATTTCTGCTTCACAGCAGGAGATGCCTCTGGACAAAATGCTTAGGCAGCATTCTGTGTGCTCCAACTCTCAGTGAGGAAGCATTCTTTTTCCAGCCTCATTACACATCAGCTCCTCTTCAGACCAGCACTGTTGTACTAGGGTATAGACCAGAGCTGGGCAACCTATTTGGACCCATCAGCACAATGTGGGAGTAAAGTGTTTGCATTGCTCTCTCTCTGTGGATTCTTACTTTTCTTGATTATGCAGCACCCTTAATTGTATGGAGGGCCCACAGTTGGAGAAGACACTCCCTTTCACAAAGTCACACTCTTTGCAACAAAAGCAAAGACAGGGCAGGTGTGGCTGGTGCCTGTCTTGCATGTTTAACCAAAACACTTCAGGAACACCTGAATAAAGCTAACACTGAGTGCTGGACTTCCCACAAGCAGCTTGTTAGGCACTGTGACCAGAATACTGGACTAGATGGCCCCTGGACTGATCCAGCATGGCATGATGTATTTGTATTTACAATTTTCTCTTTCTGATTTCTTTTTTGTACCTAAAGCTTTCTGTATAATAATATTTGCTAGTTCTATTATCATTATAACCATCCTTTGTAATTCTAGTGTATGTACATATAATAGAGTGAAATCCTATCTATATATGACTATTCAGAAATAAGTGCCACTGAGTTTAATGGACTTACTCTCAAGTAAATGGGTATATTATTGCAGCTGGGCAGTACAGTCCTCTGTGTCTACTAAACATCTGGATATCCAGAGGACTTTTCAACGAATGAACTATGAGATTGTTCTAACCTGGTAGCTAGGTCTCTGCAGTGCCCAGAAGGCAACAATAAACTACTTAAATATTAAATAAATAAATATTTCTTGCATTATGAATCCTATAATGAAACAATCTAGATTGGATTAGACTTTAAATCACTTTTAAAAATGGATTTTGGAATGCACCACAGCTATTTGTTATGATGGCAGCTTTGAGGGGCCACCCCAAACAGCCAAATTCCACAAGGATGGGTGTGATTTTAAACCTCAATTTGGAAACTTCACAATTAAGTCATTAACTACATCTTTTTGAGAACAGCCACTGGAATGACTTGTGCCTTTATATTCTGCATTTTTCTCAACTATGTATGATGCACCTTTCTCCAAATAATTCCAACCAACTCATGGAATACTTTATGATATAGTAAATGTGTACAAACTTTTTAAAATCCAGAATCCACAGCCACAGAAAAATTGTGCAAGCTTTGGCTGGTGGGGGCCAGGGAACATACTAATTAATTTGACATCTAAGCTCGAGTGGGCAAATGGTAGGCATCCATGTTTTCATTTACAACTCCCATCGGCCCTAGCAAAAGGCAGAGAATGATGGGGGCTGTAGCCCAAAATTGTGGAAGTCCACACGTTGCCTATCTTTATTTGAAGAGCACGCTGCACTTGGAAGGGCGTGGGGGTGCGAAGAGATCAAGTGGGCAGATGCAAAACCTCTACTCAGTCTGCTACAGCACATTCACTCATTTGATCAGTCTTTCCAGAATAAAACCAAATCATACCCCCCCCCCCCGCGGCGCCGCCTACGTTGGTGGAACCCGTTGCATCCCTCATTTCCAAGAATGAAAGATTCCACCAGCAAATTCCTTCGCATCGAGAGCATTCGCAGCTCGGCGCATGCGCAGTAAGCGAAGACCCGCGTTGTTAGGGTGGAAGCGGCCCTTAGTTACTGAGCGTAGCTGTTGCTGCTCTGCGTTTGCAAGGGCCTCGAAAACATGGTGGCGACTCCGCAGGTAAATTAACTCCCCGTGGGGGCTGGTTTTTCTCCCTTGGAGATATGTATGGGAAGAAAAACGGAGCAGAGCTGATTCCTCTTCGCCTTACATCTCCTGCCGATGTGCTAGAGTTGGGGAGGCGCCAAGCTTGACTTCCCTCCTCCCCCGCCGCCGAGGTTCCCCCAGTGGAACCGCTCAAATGCTTTTTGCCCCTCGTGGGCGAGAGCAGAACATGCAGTAGCCGTAGAGAAGCCACGAAGAGGAACGCTGTCGATGCCCTCTGCCCGGCGGTCAGTTGTGGCCCTGCCTGTCTGGGCCTGTGAGTCTCATCATCCCTTAACATTGGCTGTACTAGCGAAGGTTGGGGGGAGATGTAGGCCAATGCATGGGGGTGGGGCCACTTGTCCATGCTTGGGACGATTTCTTTGTTCTGAAGCCACTAGGGCAATTCTCTGAGACGCGGAAAAGAACCCTAATGGGGTCCATCCAGCCCAGTGTAGCTACATGGTCTAGTCTGGTCCTTTTACAGAGCCCCGGGTCGTTGCTGAAAAGAGCTTCCAGCAGTTGCAGCAATCAAGGGAGTCTTTTGTTTAATTTTAATCCCACTTTACCAACGAATGTAGAACTGCTTATGGTGTCCTAGTGAGGCTCCTGTGCTTGTAAAAGTTGTGTGAAAGGTAGAAGTTCAACAGGTGTTAGTGCAGTTCTGCCGTAAGTTGCTCTTACTGTATAGTTTCGGTTTTTTAATGATTGAGTGCTGTGAATCAATTGTCTAAAACTGGATTATTTGAAATAAAGGATTTCCATGAAGTTGTACAGTGAAGAATGTTGTCTTGAAATGAGGATGCATCTTTGTTTTCCAGTCGGTTATTGCTATGGCCTTTTGGTTTCCTGTATAATGATGGAGTTTTCCTCTCCTATCTGCCTGTCCACAACCATTAGGAAAATTCCTCCTGTTGTAGAGGTGTGGCCTGTGTGGAAACCCTAATATTAGGATCTTGGTTAGTTTAATTCCCAACATGCCCCTGATAATCCCAACTCAGTCTGCAATCTCATTCAGATTTGGGAGTAAATTCTAGTGCATGTGAGACCTATGTTTAGGTAAACATTCAGGGGCTGTTGTAAGCTTTGTGCGGTTTTTCCAGGTAGTAATTGTTCACAAACTGACTGGCGCAAATTGTCATTAATTACAGTGGGACTTCTAGATCATGCGGAAATTGGATTCTAGCAGCTGCATTCTAAATGCGTATTAAAGAACATAAGAACCAGGCAGATGAGACCAGTGGTCCAATTTAGGCCATCATTCTGTTCATGCAGTGGCTAACCAGCTGCCTACTGGATCTCACAAGCAGAATTTAAATACAACAGCACCCTTCTACCCAAGTTTTCTGGCAATTGGAGTTTGTAGGCATACTGCCTCTGATACTGTGCCATCAGGATTAGTAATCATTGATACCCTTCTACTACACAAACTCGTCCAGACCCCTTTAAAAGCAATTCAGATCACTGCATCTTGTGAAAGTGAATTCCATAGTTTATGCTCTTTGTGAAGAAGCACTTCCTTCCATTTGTCCTGAATCTCCCACCAGTCAACTTCATGGAAAGACCTTGTGTTCTAGTATTATGAAAGAGGGAGAAAAGTGTCTCTCTAGCCACTTTTGTTGCACCATGCATAATTCTGTACACATCTGTCTTGTTTTCCTTTACTCAGTTTTTTTTTCTAAGCAAAACAATTTCAGTTGTACATTTTCCTCACAGTGGGTTGTTTGACTCTTTTGATCATTTTAGTTGCCCATTTATTTCCTTTTCCAATTCTGCAATAACCCTTTTAGGTGTGGCAATCAAAACTGCATTCAATATTCTAAAGTCAGTACGACAGTGGCAATTTCAGTTTGCCCCTTTCACAGCAGCTGTACGCTGAGTTGATATTTTCATGAAAATGTCCACCATAACACTGAGATCTCTTCCTTGGACAGATCCCATCAGCTTATACTCAAAATTGGGATCCCCCCCCCCCACTAGCATGCCCATTTAGATGTCTATTCTCCCATTCCTTTTGGAGCTCTTCACAATTCATTTTGGATTTAACTACTCTAAATAGTTTGGTTTCATCAGTTAACTTGGTCATTTCACTACTCACTTTTAATTCC